GCTGTTTAAACGTTCTTAACTGATGAAGCAGTCAAATTTAAAATGACGCACAGAGAACTTCTATAATTACGATGTGCTTATTTGTTTCATATGCACAGATTAACGTAATTCTGCACTTGCCATAACCAACGTGCATTTTAGAGTCACCAAGGACTCCAACTTGTAGATTAAAAGGGTTTAATTTATCTGTAATACAACCCAAACATGCCCCAGCGGAGAACATCACAATTGCTCCAAACAAAATATTCAGACGTCCATGATAAAACTCACGCCTCGAAACACAATGACTCACCCACGCAAGACAGATTCGCGCAGTCGCCATGTCGTTATTTTTTATTTTTGCCCACCCCTGTACTGGGCCCAGACTTCGGAGCCAGAGTCAGTACACTGAGCTGTAGGAACCTCTCTGTTCATAAACTTTCACGAAAATCGATTATTAGCGTGTACGATCTGTGTCTGAAACTAACGATGCACGTTTCTTAAAACTAACTAACAGGATGATTCTTTCGTAAACAAAACAGGCCCAAAACTGCAAATGTTTCAATTATTGAGACGTAGTTTTACAAATACACCATTAGTCTGAGTTATCGAATCATGATTACACGAGATAAAACATCAAATTATCTATCATATCGGTTATTAACGCCATTAATCAAGAGTCTGTGAGTCGACGTAGATAATGCATCGCGAGATATCAATACAACTCATTTGTCCACAATAATATTCACCACATCGAAAAATGTTCCGGACAATATCACAACAAGACTAAAAACGTGCTCTCTTTTGAGAACAATATAACGTCAAACGTGTTCCTGACGACATATCACGGGTGTTGACATCAGCAGAATGACCGAGAGAATTAGAAATGCAACAAAGACACATCAAAGTCAACAATGGTATTCGAGATCCCGGTTGCGATGTGAACCGAAGACACTGTTACAACAATGTGCACTGTTCGAACCAAGAGGACAGACGCACGGGGGTGTCCAGGTCTGAGGCTCAAAGCACGGAAGAGGAGGCCCATGGGGCAAAGCTCCCAGAACAGTTTACCCTGGTTATAATGCTCTGAAAATGCCTCATGAGTGGCAGGACCAAGCTACAGCTTAAAAAAAACACCTGGAAACGAAACTAGATGAATAATTTTACATGGTGTATTTTGGACTACGTTAAGCGGTTCTAAATTAATGCAATTCCACTTTAGGGTATATATTGTCAACATGGATGCCACATACGCACATCTTTCTACTCTGGTAACAGAACTTCATACTTCTACTGACGTTCCACTGTTTAGGATCTTTAAATAAATTCTTAAATCCAGTTCGTTGATCACAAAATGGCCTATTACGCTCGAGAATGTAAAAGAAGTTTTATTAAATTTGCAAAGAAAAAGACTAAGCAAAATTACATGCTAATCACGTACCGGTAAACTGTTCATAATTATGCTAATAAATTTCTTTTGGTTGCTCCCGTAAAGATTCCATGTCATGTTTTATAATTCGTGATTTAACATTACAAAGTCCCCACTCCCCTCAAAAAAACTGACGAAAGTTTCAACAAATCATTCCCAGAGTTAGACATGTAGAATACAAACAGGTTATGTTATACATGGGCCCCTAATTCGTCAGTATCACAATAAAATAAAAAATATACAAGTGAGTATTGATTGCTGCTTTACGGTTCATGCCTATATTTCACAACATAAAAACCAAAACTGTCCTTACTTTCGTGTATAAATTGCATATATCACAAAAGTACAAATGTTTTATAACAACAATAATCCTTTTTTCAACTGTCAATTGCTATAATTTCCTAAAATTCTAGGATTTACACTCTCACCCTGACACTATCAAATTAAAAACGAAAATGAATGAAAATACTTTCTCGCCATCAGACAAAATTTGGCTAACGAGACCCTTCTGAAAACAGAAACATGAGAATATTTTAACACGTTCGTTAATAAATGCTGCTAGGTAGTGGGCATAATGACAGCGTCACGAAATGGCGACTTCAAGTAAAATTTTTCGGTTCCGACTAGCCGGATGCGTTATTATTGAACGTTAATTTAAAGCACTTGGCTAATTACCAAACAATACGACACAACTAAACAAAATACAAAGTTAATACGCAGTGGATTACAGATCTGAACACCTATCAAATAAATGGAAGAATACCTACAAACGCCGTTAAACATTTCACCTAATACAATTTAAGATATTAACACTTCTCTTCGTGAAACATACATAAACTAACACGCCATTAGCAGCACAACCTCAACCTCCAAACGTTACACCAAAACTGAGCATTGATAGCCTGAAACGTATGCATTACAGCACCATCTGAGTGACGAATCAAAGAACTACTACTGTTTCGTAACGATCGCGCCAAGGCTGCACACGGCCAAGGAAATGCGAATATCTGACGAGATCCACAAAATATGTTACCATATGCTCAACTGCTTCTGGGGGAAATTGAAGTTCCGTTTCAATTTCCTTTCTTTGTGGAGTCGAAATATTTATCGACCTATATATTTTTTTAAGAAAAAAATTTATACTCCTCCCCCAGTATTGTCAGGGAGATTAAGTCGAGAAGAATGAGATGGGCGGGGCATGGATGGGACAAGAGGTGTGCATCGGGTATTGGTTGAGAAGCCTGAGGGGAAGAGACCTCTGGGGAGACCTAGACGTAGATGGGAGGATAATCTCAGGCGGGATCTATGGGAGATAGGAGTTGAAGGAGACTGGATTTTGTTGGCCCAGGACAGGGTCCGGTGGAGGGCTTTGGTTAATTCGGTGATGAACCTTCGGGTTCGGTAAGCCATCTGGTTGGTTGGGTCCACTATTGGGGAAGCCTGAGGGGAAGAGACCGCTGGGGAGACCTAGACGTAGATGGGAGGATAATCTCAGGCGGAATCTAAGGGAGATAGGAGTTGAAGGAGACTGGATTTTGTTGGCCCAGGACAGGGTCCGGTGGAGGGCTTGGTAAACTTCTACCGGAATACATGGTTCTACAACCCACAAGACAGCCATCTTCAGAACCACCACCATAAAAACCTCAAAACCTACCGAGGAGTACACTGGTTTTTGAGATCACTGGTAAATTTGGTCCATGGTGAGAGACCTTATGTCTTATCTCCTGTGTTTTAAACACTTTTTGTCACCAAGAATAGTGGTGGGAGACAGATAATAAGAAGTAATTGCTTATTACAGTTATTGGCCTGTTTGTAATGTAGGTGCTTGAAGACCTTAATTGTATTATGGAGGTGAAGAAGAAGCCATATGAAGAGATTCTGGAATTATCGAAGATGCACAAAAGGCGACAACAGCGTGTCAATACTCAGATCTAACTGGAAGAGAAACAGAAGTGAGGCAGAGAGTATCAGGATTATGCTCTGGAGCCGAGGTGCCTGGTGGCAACTTGTTTCGGAGCATTCTTCGATGAGGTGTTGAAGACTCAGTTTTGTAACAGTATTTTGACTTCATTAGTGGTAAGAATGAGGACACACGATGACCTTTCCAGGTGATGGTAGATCTAGCTTGCAAATTGGTCTCAGTCAGCATCTTTTGTAACATGAGTCCCACAGCTGGACACTGAATAAACAAACAATTTTCTGAAAATGACAACGAAGGGACTCGGTGCAAGTAATTAGCTCATCTGAATTTTTAGGAGACCTGTGACACAATGAATAAAGTTCATCACAGTACGTATAAGTCCTGCAACTTCATTTCCGGCACCACTCACGCCAAGTTCCGGCTTGTAAATGGATGATTGGCACAGAACAGCGGCATTACAAAAACCATCGTCAAGTAGTTTCACAACAGCCGAGTTTTGTCCTAGTGACGTTCCACTGTATCAAGCCTTCTTTTCGATACGCCACAGGAAAACAGATTTTTGTTAGCAATTCAAAAGAACATCTTGAATGGCTTCTACACTTGCAACAAATTTCACACGTTCCAAGTCAAAATAAAATAATTGGATCTCTTAGATTTGCCTGCTGCAGTCCTCACACAGACTACAGAAATGATTTCCCCACTTAATGGTACCTGCACCTTGTCGTGGTCGTGGGGCTTGAGTACCTCGGTGGCCCCAAGAGCTACTGGTAGGGCCTCCCTAGCCAGATTGGTCGAGGGGGAGAGGTCAGGCTACGACAGGTATCCTGGGCCTCCAGGTTGGGGGTTGGTCGCAAGGCTAACAACCTCGCACCGTAAAAAGGAAGACGTTTCGAAACCTCGATCAAAGCCTCGGATAGACGGACCTAACAGAGGACCGAATGGTAGATGAGAATTGAGGAGGCCGTGGACCGAATACGGACCGGAGAGCCATTGAAGAAGTAGCTCATTTGTTGGTCATGACTGACATTTTATTTTAATACAATATTTCTTTTCACCATCTTTCTCATTTTGTTCCATATGTGATGTTCAATATCCGCACACAATTTTCATGTATGTACAGCGTGGCGCACGAAATGACACCCAACTAAAAGTTTAAATAATGGATTTTGTCACCCCAGGACAGGGTCCGGTGGAGGGCTTTGGTTAATTCGGTGATGAACCTTCTGGTTCCGTAAGCCATCTGGTTGGTTATGTTTTTTGGCGGTCTTTTTAATAAAAATAATACTAGTTAACTTATTTATTTGATCTCTATTTAACTGCATTGGTTGACTCCAGATTTTAGCTTCTTAGCTTATATCTCATTGCACGGACTACACGTCAGTGCAAAAGGAAACAAAGTTTGCTGAGTTCCACTTGCAACCTTCTTATAACATAAATAACGATAAGAATTGTTAAACTGTCATTTGTAAAACGTACCAGTCCTTTGAAAACCCAATGTCATTTTACTGACCTTGAACTCAGAGAAGGATGGGAACCACTGCTCAATGGTATAATGACCCACAGATCACTATAATGGTCCTGAACTCAGAACCTCCCATGCCTTCAACATGCAATACATTGAGTCACTGTAACTGTATTCAAATGAATACAAATAAAATATTTTCACCTTACCTTCCAACATGTCTGCGCGTAAGTGCGGGTTTGGCCGAGTTATCCCGAGCGCAGCGATATGCATGCCCTCCGGCAGACACGAGGGTGCCACACGAAGATGCAGGGGATGGAAAACTGACGAGCGTATCGCTGTCCGAAGTCGGAGACACTGCAGTCACCAGCGTGTCACTGTCAGAATCTGCAAAAAGAAGACAATCCCAATCAAAATCTTTTAATCTGACAGAATTACCCAGAATTTAGCAAAAGTAAAAGATCACTAATACTTGCCCCGTCTGTCTACTTTTCATTTAAAAATATGCTGCTGATGGAAAATTTGGCTAAGTGTTCTCACTGACATGTTTTTATTTAACATTCTAGAAAAATTCTGGGATAGTACTGCATTTCATCACGATTCACATAATCTCATTTTGTTATGAAATAAAAAAAAAACAGATTGCAGTATAATTAATGAATTTCATTACAATGTAGTCAAAATAACACAAAATATTTTGTCGCCAAAGTCTGAAGCAGACAGAAGCAGGTATAAAATCTAAAGTGGCAAGACTTATCTGTCACCGAAACATATTACAGGACCCACAACACGATCTTCCAATCATGCGAACATGTAAAGCAAGATGCTGTACCACAGTGAAAAATGAGACGGGCATCACATGAAAATTTAATACATACTTTACACGATGTGTATATCATTACAAACACGCACTGAGCACTTACTCAACAAAAATACCCAGACCTCCGTAAAACAACAAACCTTACATTTTTAATTTTTCTTAATCACCTTTCATTATAATGAAGTTTAATTATAAATATAATTTTTTAGTCCACAAAAGTTCATTAAAACATGATCTCACAGCACAAACACTATGAGGTTATATCTGACAAATTTAATACCAGCAGAATCTGTAATGGCGAAAATTTATTGAATAAATATTACTTATTGCTCTCTTCACCATTAAACTGAAGCATTTGAAAGAAAGTAGACATTAAAAATTCTTTCCAGGGCTTGAAGTCGAAATCAAGTTGTTTAATTTTATATATGCATACGTGGTACAATAATAAGTGAGATAATGAACGCACCAGCTTCAAAAGCATCATAAAACTCATCATCAGATGTGTCATAGAAGCGAGGACTTCGGTGGCTGCTTATTAAACTACGGTGCTCTTGGAGGGACGGACTAGTGGACAGGTGTGAGGCCATTGACTGCTCTAGTTCATGGTGTTCTTTGGCAAGAACACTCAGTGCTTCTTCAAGAACTCTGCATTTTTCTTGTTCTTGTTTCAGTTGCAGAACTCGAACCTTCACAACACACAAACAAAACATATTCATCAATGCGGACTCCCTCACGAGGAGCTGACAGCCAAGAAATTTTTAACATCTCATGAAACTGAAAAGTTCATTACCATGTGCACAAAAGTTGGCAGGATTTTCTTTTGAGCCAGATGAATCCAATACACACCCTCAGAATCAATTTACCAATGACATATTTTAAATGTATCCTCCCATCTACACCTAGATCTCTGCAATGGCCTCTTTCGTTCAAGCATTTATATATGCTCTTTGACACTCGTAATCCTGCCTGACTCAATGACACTAACAGTATTTGTCAAAGAGTACAACTAATGAATCTCCTCAACACATAATTGTCTCCACCCTCTGTAACATTCTCCCTCTTAGGTGCAAATATTCTCCTCAGCACTCAGTCGTCAAACTCCCTCAGCGGAAGTCTTTCCTTACAGAGAGCAACCCAATGTCACTCCCACAGCAAACAATTATGTGTACATTACTATGACAACAAAATATTCTTATAACAACACATTTATATTAGCTATTTAAAGCATTGTGATAACTGAATGTTCCACCTGCGTAAATAATTGATAACTCTGCATTTTGTTTTAACTGGTTTCCTATGATTCTCAATACAAACTTGAAATTGTTTAGAGTTTATATTAATTTCGAGACGCCCGTGCCTCCCTTGAGCGTCTACTTGTCGGCGTCACCTTACGCCAGCAGAGAGACCGTCATCTTCACTCTGCTGACATCAGATGGATGTCAGAAGTTGGGGACCCATTACAGCATGTGGCGAAGCGGAAGCACCGCTGGGCGAAACGACGGAAGATGGAGTATCGCCACCATGACTTCGTACCCACGAAACAGGAAGCGTCCACTGGGTCGGCCTCCTGCTCGTTGGGCAGACTCTCTTCCCGTCAAGTATAACATCAGGAATTTACGTGGCCATACCACCAGACATTGGTCTACCCGAGCACTGGATAGAGAGGAATGGAGGAGATGCTGGGGCCCGCATGCGAGCTGATGAACGGGTCGCTTAAGTGCTAAGTGCTCAATATAAACAGTGATTCCTACCTTGAACAGCATTAACCAGACGATCTTTGTAATGTAAAAGTATCACGTTTTCTTCACAGAATAGACTGAATTATTAGGCATTATTTACGTGAGCTTTGGCTTCAAAGAGTTAATAATGATACTTAAAAATTAAACTTTGAAAACTTATCAAACTTAATATCGAATGTCATATACCTCTTCTTGCTGCTCAAACAGCGACAAACAGTGGCCAAGGGACTGGAGCATGTTGCCTGCGGTATCTGACATGAGCTGAAACCTCTGAAAAACAAACATTACCTCACACCCAAGTTGCCAATAAGCACTACCAACTTCAACACAAAAACAACAAATTCTGTAATGAAAACATTCATTAATGCACGTTTATTTGAGGAAGGGAGCAAGAAACAATCAAATACTTTGCTAAGTTAGAAATTAATTGCCTCGATTATTACGGCAAAGACATTACTTGTATTTTTAGCCTGTTTTATGACCACAAGCAAGAACCACAGTTAATTTTCAGCAAGGCTAATCTCTTTCTGACTCTTCAAGTATCTTCTTATAACATGATTTAATATTCATGTTTAAAAAAAAGTTGACAGTGGAACCACGGTTCCGAGGAATCTGACGTAAATACGTCTCTATAATATAATTAAATGTAATAATTCTTATATAAGACAAGTACTTGTGATATTATAAAACGTTTTTACCAGCACAAAATTATCCACTCTACGACGCACTTCTTCTACAAGCGAATCACAGCTCAGCTCTTTCCGCAATAACGAAAGCGGATTTTTGACGGCAGTAATGAAACACAACAATGCCGAGTAAACAGATGACGTAACAATTAGTTTCTTAGGTAACATAACCATGCACGCAGGAGTTCATATAAAAGCTGACCACTGTTGTCGGTCCATATTTACACATAGTTGATATGGATCTTACACATCTTCGTTACGCTCTTTTGCCGAATGACCCTTCCGCATAGACGTATTTACGTCAAAATATATGTACTAAGACTTCAATAAACTTGTTTACATTGGGTTGTAGAGCCAAGGAACAACAACAACTGATATGAGTATATAAAGTGAAGTGTATAATTCAAATCATAAATCTGACTTGCTCACCAAAACAGCAGCACCGGTGATTGCATCACAGTGAAGGCTGTTATTCGACAGCGCTTCAACGATGGCGACACTGTCAGTCAACTGGCTCTCCATCACTTTGTGATGTGCGGCAGCTGTTTGTAAGGAATCCTGCAACACAAATAAATACGCTGCGTTATAAAGCAGTGTTAAAGTTGAGCTTACCTGATGTCGTGGACACAAATACGGCCCCATAGATGATATCATGGACATATTAAGAGTGGCTCCAAAGGGTAAAATGCTAGATATTTTAGAAAAATTCCATATACACAAAAGTAGTAAACACAAAGCCATCATTAACCAAAAAAACGCCCAAGATTCTAACGTATTATTTGACGTGGCATTAAACATGAGAAAGTAAATTTTCAATAGTTGGCCACCCTGATTTCGAGCTTTTATATATACCCCACACATTCCAACTGACAGTCTCACACCCACGATTCTGGAGTTCACAGGTACGGACGACGCAACCACAGCCCACCGCACACCAGCTACGGCCACCGGACCATCCGATTAATAGCTAAGTGCAGAGTTCAACCTTTGTGAATAACAACATCTAGTGCAGTGTCGCGTAAAATACTTTTGTTAAATACCCTATTCATTATTTATTTTCTAAAACCAGTTTAAACCATTTGATTAAATTACTTAATTTCCCTGATGCCACTGATGATGACCTCTTGAGGTTGAAACGCGTATGGCAACAGTGTCATTTTTATAGTGTTAATAGTTGTTTGTTTACTTTTTTTATAAGGAGTTTCGTAATTCGTACTGTTCACGAAGTGTTATTAAAGTGACCAAGTTAAGGGGATGGGTAGAACACGGAACACGCAAGGGACAGATGAAAGAGAAGTGCACACTGTTTTGGTTGGAAAATCCAAAAAGAACCCACTTGTGGGACTAGACACAGATAAAAGGATAATAATAAAAAATGGATCTTAGAGAAACTGTGAGGGTGAGTACTGGATTCAACGGTCTCAGGATAGGGTCCTGTGGAAGACTTTTTTTGTAAACATGGTAATGAAATTAAAACCTTGCATACCGCACAGTGTTATCTAAATACATAAAATCATGCAATGGATTATAAATTGAGCACATTCCTGGATCTCAGTACCATTGAACTCAAGCATCTTTGTGGCGTTGCATTATAGATTTGTCACCTTCTATTTCCCAATTATAGTCCACTGACTGTTACCTGCATCGAACCAAGAGGTTTAATGTGGCGGTCTTCATCGTCACTGTCATCAAACTCCACATGTCCCTGAGTGAGATAATGTGTGCTGAATGCCGCATGCTCCGTGAAAGCATTGATCCATTTCTGAAAATCACAGAGCAGGTTAAATTATATACTCATTAAAAAAATCTTTTTTACCAGTCCCACTGATGCAAATCTGTCTTTGAATAAATAAAATATATCCATTTTCATCTACATTTTTATGCTTTTTTATTTAATATTATTTGGGTGATTAAATAAAGAACAATGATAGGGCAGAACATAAAAAATGCAACAGGGAAAAGACTGTATAAAACATTTGAGTTGGAAGACCAAAAGAATGCAAAGAAAGAGACCACTTGAGAGACCTAGACACTGAACAACATTAGAATGCATCTTAGAGGAAAAACTGATAATCCCTGGAATAGAACAACAAAAACATCTACAAATTAATGTTTCCACAGTTTAGTCAAAGCTACGAGGCGCGTCCACAAAGTAAGTTTCCCACTCGTCCCTCAGCTAGCAAACCTTATATTGCGCGAAGCGACTGTGCGTACGTGATAGAGCAATGACGTAGCATGGCTCATGCACTAACGGCACTTCCCGCGTTCTCACAGTAGCATCGTTGCAGCTGTTGAAGATGGAGGTTCTTATTCCAGCTCCCGCCGACTGTGAAGTGCGGTCAGTGATAACGCTAGGCCGCACACGGCTCGACAGACAGCGAGTCTCCTGCAGGAGTTCAGCTGGGAGGTGTTTAATCATCCACCCTACAGCCCGGACCTCGCTCCCAGTGATTTCCATCTTTTCCTACACCTCAAGAAATTCCTGTCCGGTCAGCGTCAGCGTCAGCGTTTTGAGAATGACAGAGAGGCGGAGATGGCTGTCACACAGTGGTTCCAATCCCAGGCGGCAGACTTCTACGACACAGGTATTAAAAGTTGGTCCCACGGTATGACAAATGTCTTAATTCCGGTGGCGAATATGTTGAAAAATAGCTGGACACTTGCTGTATCTGTTGCAATAAATATTCCCATGAAATTGTGTTTTGTTTCTGTAAACGGCCCCAGGGAAACTTACTTTGTGGACGAGCCTCGTATTATGGGTCCCATAATGTTTAAGGTACACAAAATAACAAAATTCTGTTACTTATTTTAGAATAAAATAACACACGTACCTGCCTACTGATCTGTCCTGTAGTCTCACCGTAGTTAACAACACTGAGCCTGTGGACAGCACTATCAGAGAAGCGTACCACAAAAGTAGAGGTATCACACTCTAATGGTAAAATATTTGCTCCGTCTAAATATTTGAAATCTTTTCTTTTAAAGCCCGATGCTGCATCCGCTCTACTGCCGAAGTACGTCAGAACACCACGCTCTAAAACGGCCTGGAAACAAAATACATAATATTTCCTGACATTCACCAAACCACATCTTAGACAAGTTTTTGAAGACCTTTATAACTTCAGTATTATTTACCTCTGCAGTTACGCTGCACAGTAAATACCAGATGCATCACTTCATGCATTAAAATGTATATATGGTTTCCTAGTCATTAAATTGGTAGACATTTATCACTTCATGCATAATTAAACACAGATCCACCCAGAAACCACAAAGTAGACAGCGAGGGAGGAATGAAGAAAGGAAAATGTAGCGACAGAAGTAAAACTGACCCATATAGGTTTCCATCCGAGAAATCTTGATCTCTTAAGTAGCTGACCTTCAAATCTTGTGGCTGATTTTTGTAGCTGTCTGACTGGACGAACACACAACACTTGTTGCATCTGTGAATCTTGCGCAAGTTCTAATGCTGTCTGTCCTGGTAATGCGATGCAAAAGGAGAGACTTCTGTGTAAATTACGTAACTGCACACATTATGAAAATCAAAATGGTAGCGAACTTCAAATAATCTTGTATTCAGAATTTGAGGTCAAAATTCTCATAACTTGGCTTGTAACCACGTTTAAATAGCAATTACGCGCTTCTTTATTATAACATAATTCACATGCAATTTGAGAGATTGTCTTAAAATTTATACTGCCCCTGTATTGTCGCAGCAGCAAGTACCAAGACAACTATTTTCTTGATTGTTGCACCATGTCGTCTGGTAGACATCCAATGACGTTTCAGAGGCATTTTCTGACTCCATTAGCAAGCAATACAGAAGACAGCCATCTTTATATTGTCCTTGGCATATTTAATAACACTTCGTCAACTACATTGCTTGCACAATAGACAATGGTAGAACGAATGTGAATAATTAGTTAGGAAGGAAGAAACAGTTGTCGCCAATTTTCAGGCAGTCCAAAAATTTATGTGAAGGAACTGAACAAAAGCACAAAATAGTTTACTCACAGGGACAAAGATGTAGCTTATGTACATACAGGCGTTTCCTGATAATTTTAATGCATTTATTTTGGAATACTGAAACTTATTCTATGGAAGTATTCTGAGCAGACAAAATGAGATAGGCGTGGCAGTGGACTAACTTAAAGCACACATTACATTTTTTGTTTTTTATGTGTAGTGTTCTGTCTGACGACAGGTCCATATGAACAGGATCCTTCCATCCTTTTCTCGGACTGGGACCTGTTCATATACGTTCTTGGCAGATGATCCAGAAGTGGTTTGCCATTGCCTTCTTCTGTGTGTGAATGGAGTAATTGTTGGGATGCCACGGAGGAAAACTCCGTGTTGCCTAGACCACGGCCTTGCCCAACACAAGTTATAAATTCGGGCATCGAACCCGAGACCCCAGGATTACAAGGCCAGCGTTCTAACCGCTAGACCACCGTGGCAGATATTACAACATAATCTAACATTATCTGTAACTAGAAGTACATGAAGGTTACGATTTAACCCATACACAAAAGATTTAAACATCTTAGGGTTAATAAGGATAAACCAGATTCTGTACACGATAAATGTCTTCATCCCGCAACTCACCAGATGATAGACATACTTCTATATGAAGCTCCTACATGAAAAATTACACAGATGTGTGAAAAGACCATTTGGAAAATACCTCAGCAAAGGTTTAGCATTCAGATTCTTGTTTCAAACAAGTTATGCTTACATACACAATCTAACATGATAGAAATTTCATGGGGACAAGGGTGTTCACCTCTCGTGTTCCTGACACCAGTGTCAATGCCATTCTGCAGCAGCAAAACCGCGGCCTCCTTGTGACCACGATAAGACGCGCAATGCAAACTTGAATTGCCCTGAGCATCCACACAGTTGATGTTCGGGGGATGATGATCTTTCAGCTGTAAGAAAAACAATGCAAATCATACTAACACTTTACTAAAATTTCATTCGTGTTTTCACTATCTGCCATGTCATACCACTATTTATTCTTACATTTCCTATTTCATTTCCTTGTTAACAGTTTGCAAATAAAAGCAAACTCATCTTCCTCATTTCCTTTGATGCTCATTTTAACTAAATCTCCTCATTCCAATCATCACTACAACCTTCACTCATATTAATCACATCTCAATCATATTAAAAAAATTTCTTACAGGTTTACCACACCTGTTACCCAATATATAAACTATTTTTTACCTCTGACTTCTTGTTGTAACTGTAATCGCATTGTAATTTCAAGACCATATATGTCAGCGTGTAATTTGTAATTATTAATGTTGAATGTGCCTATTCAGCGTTAACTGCACACTTTCAGCCAAGTTTATTTAAAAAAAACAGCCACATAACTTTGAATGTGATTTTCTGGGTGATGACACCACCATCACTTATATAAAAAATCTATATTAAATGTTACAGAAAAGTTATCCACAGCTTAAATACTCAAAAGCTGCATGGAGCGAAAGAATACATGGCTTCAAACATTCATATTCATTTGCATTATGACACGTCTCATTAGTCAAACTCCCATAACAACAAATGTGGCACCATTTTCTGATCATATTATGAATGGAAAAAATGCCAATTTTTTATTCTTCTTACTTCTCCTCTCTTATTACATGTTCTCTGGGCATATATTTTACACACTCAGTTCTGTATAAAAAGACTGGAAAAGTATCACTTATAAATTCTACTCTTGTCGGACTTAAAGTTATAACAACTTCGTCTTAAAAGATCAATCTTGTCTGAATCAACCATATTAGCAAAATTATTCTTAATATGTTCTCTCAGCTAACCAGCATCATGGAGCACAGTAAGGTATAGGTGACTGTAATTAATATCAGGTGTCCACAGACTTGAAACACATGAACATTATTATTCAGTGTTCTGTCTTACGACAGGTCCATTGCTCTGCCCAAAAAGAGCTCTCCAGTTTTCCCTATTCTCTGCTTCTCGTTTTAATTCCTGGAACGTCATCTTCTTTCCTTGTTTCAGATCGTCGGTTAGCTGTATCAGTCTTACATGAACATTACAGGAAGTAAATGTAAGATTACAAAATCAGCATGTGTAGTATGATTCGTAAAGGTAATATCACATAACTAAACAAACACCACTTGAAGTATACACTTCCATTGCCTCAATTTCAAACTTTGCAAACTAAAAGAAAACAGCATTCTTAAACCTTTTATATAACAGTAAAATTTGAAAAACAATCATTACTAAGATGGCTGTTTTCTGGGTGGTCGTGCCGTGTAGTCTGGTAGAAGTTTACCAATGTTTCAAAGTCTCTTGCTGCCTCCATCATCACGGTGACGACCTTTAAAACACTGGTAAACTTCAGACTACACGGCGCAACAACCCAGAAGACAGCCATCTTCGAACTCACTTCCGTGAAAACCTCAAATCCTACAATCGTTACCAAGCTCCTTCACAGAGGAAAGGGAAGGTTTAAGAATGACAGGTGGCATGCACATATGTAGCCACAGCTGTTGAGATGCTGTGAACAGCAAGGGTAAAAGGTTGATGCACAAAAAATTTCAACTTTCAATAATTACCAAACATAAAACATAGCGAAGGAAATTATTATTCCATATTTACAATATTACATAGAAAATATAATATCCAGTTTTCAAATAAATTGTCTGTAATTTCCACTGGCAGCTGTAAGCGTACTACACTTCATATCAAAGAATTCAAAAAGGAGACAATTTGTTACTGGATTTGTGCCATTATTAAATTTTTGCACAGCTGTGATACTCTAAGGCCAAGAAAGACGTTATTTTTAAACCTATACATGTAAAAATATACTTACTGCAGCCAGCGGGAATATGGCAAGCAACACTCTGATACTTAACTACAAAATACAGATATTTTAATCATAATTATTTAATTTTTTTGGAAATAAGTAACTCAGTGAATTTGCAAAAATCTTATGTAGAAGCCCTATCCAAAAAAAATAATGATGATAGTACCAATACTGAACAATCACACAAACAATTAAAACTTTGTCACAAATACTTGATACTTTTTAAAAAAAAATGAATGTCAGCTACTTCTAAATAAATGTTTAAATAAGTGTTGGCAAAAGAAGTAGCACGAGTCTACATACACAGCTGTTTACTGTGCATACTGCCTGCCACCCTGTAACTTTCCTGTTCCCTGAATTGGCAAGGACCACTTGCCAGAATTTTCAAGGTGTCGAGATCACCCTCACGTGCGGCAGCCAGCAGATGTTCTTCCTTCCGACGCGCTTCCGTCTGTTCGGCCGCATGAAGAAGTTTGGTAACATCTTCAAGCTTGGCAACATCCCGTGGTGTCTGACCCTCGCCATTTACAACATTCACATCTGCATTATGTTGAAGTAACAATAGCACTAAATCCTGCAATGGCAACATTAAAACAAAAATTCGGTATCAATATTTTGAAATATATGACTGACCTTTCTTTCCTGGGGGCACGGGGCGATGACCTATATTATTGTTCAGGATAATGATTATATGCCAATGGTAATGAAAGCTACACGAGTTAAAATAAGGATTATCACTATTAGTTGTTTACTTTACTGTAGTGTCTACCATTTGTAAGATATTACACTGTAATTTTCACTTCATGCTGCACGTAAATTCAATAATACCCCCGATGATAACCTTTCAGATTGAAACATGTTGGGTTTGTAGCATACGTAACTTCAGTTGATGTTGTAACTGGTAATACTTCATATATGAAATCATAGTTTCAAAATTAATATACTGTGATTAAAACAGTCAAGAGCCTTGGCAAAACCACAGAAAATTCTTAATATATCAATCTTATTACTGAGTGCCTGTTACTTTACATAAATGACTTTGTATGTAACTTTGTAAGTGGAGCTTCTCACATCAAACTAAAGTGATACTGGCGTTCAAACGGTGCACCAATCCTTCGCACATAACATTCCTAAATACTTCAGAAAACCCAATTCAAAGAGACAGTGGCACATAACCTCTAGGACAGCAATTCAAAGTGACTCTAAATCTATAGTTAAATTTCTCCTTTAAGATAAAATCATACCTCTCTTCCAATAAATGCTGCTTTATGCAATGAAGTGTCACCTGCATCATTGACAGCATTGATATCAGCACCATATGCCAACAATTCCTCTGCAACATCACGATGTCCAAAATAGGTTGATAGATGTAGTGGTGTCCAACCAAGATTACTTTTACTCTTACCTATACACCATACAAAAACTGCTTTTGAAAATATCAACGTAAAAACAAATACATAAAAATACTGATGGCCAACCTTTTATTTCAGATCTTTCACAGAAGTATAAAAAGATATGACAAATACAAAAAGTCCTTTAAATCGTTTTCCTGGAACATGAAAGACAAACTTTTAACGATACATACCTTTACAGCTTATATCCAAAACGATCTTATTATCTCGCCGAGCAGAAAGCAGCTCTTGCACCATCGTTATGTCTCCATGACGAGAACTATATAGCAAAATTTCTTGTAGCTCCATTTCTGCACAATCTCCATTCATTTTCTTAGCTAATCTCGACAATCATGGCTAGTTCTAACAATTACAGTCCACAATTTATGAATCAAAACTGCATAGAAATATGTTCTTGTCAAATGAATCTGTTATACATAACCTCACATTTAATTTTAATTTTCGTCGAAATTTACACTAATGCACTTTTCAAAATAAATGGATTTTTTTGTTGCATTCAACATTGGTGCCTTAAATAATAAAGAACTAAAATGTAGTGAAAATAAATAACCTCGCCATCACATGAGTCCGTCTTCTAACACATTTCGCACAATATCCATCTTTATAAACGTCACATTGAACAGTGCCGGCAATGTTAGGAAAATAATATCCTACGTAGGTAATACATGAACGTTCAAGAAATTATTCCGTGTTGAGCCTGTTACAATATCGCACGAGTATTATGTCGTACCGTGTAGTCCCTGATATTGTACGACGTTGCAGGGAGCTTACTGCCTCCATCATCAGGGCTACAGTAAACCGTGCACGGAAAAGTTGGATTAGAAATACGAGTAATAGGTTGGCTTACTTATCACCCTGATGATGGAAGCTGTAGCCTACTCTCGTCCGTTAATATCTCAGGAATCAAACTAGGAGTACCAACTTATTTTTTAACCTCCAGTTACGCGATGTTTTAAAAATTTCAGTTTCTTATTTTCCCTTTTTACGTAATACTTTATTAATCTCCTGGGAAAAATTATTTAATTTCGTAAACAATCACGGAACCCCAGAGTAGGCGTCGCGGACCCCAGGTTAAGAACCGCTGCTTTATCTGTTGTCTCGTAACACATTGTGAAGCAATTCAGTGGCATTTTGTATCACTTCTGCAAGGCAGCTTTCCAGCAAACCATCTGAAGAATGTTTTTTAAACACAATAATCATATTTACAACTTGTTTTCACAAAGCAGAGTTCATGTTCTTCCTCGTCAGGTTAGGTTAGGTTTGATTTTAGACGATTCTGTTGTAAGAAGACGGAGACTTTCTTCCTTGGTCGTTTCTGGTGTTGATCAGTCAGTGGCACATATCGATATATTTGAGTCGTTTGCAAACTTGAACATTTTAAAAATTGCACACACAGCATAACAGTTCTGGCATGTTATCTGTGCTATTGCCTCTAGGTTCTTCATTCGTAAGTAGTTATGGGTGGTTGTTTGTTCTACAAAAACAGAAACTCTGAGAATATGGAATGGCACTAGTGATGCCAGTTGTCTGGAGTCAATGGCATTCACATCACCTTTATATCCTGTTTTTTTCTAACAGCCACCTGCGCCTAGGACTCGCGTCTGGTTTAACATGCATTTCGTGCATCTCTGTTCGTACTACGTGCATCGTCCATCCCATCATTCTTTATTTAACCACTGAAGCAATATTAGTCGAGGTAAAGAAGTTGTTTCCAATCATGTAATTTATTCTTCATTCCCCCTTTTCGATTTATTTATTCTGCAGTGAGTGATTTTCGTCCAACTGAGAAATACGTACAGAATTACTAGCCAAAACTACAACTTCCTGTTGCTATAAACCAGTTTCTCATATCAGAAAATAAAATTACAGTATGTGGGTACAAAAACTGGTTCATCATATCCACGGACCAAGACGTAATCAGAAAAGGCATTTTAAACACGACACTGGCCCTGAATGCAGCCATTGTTGGTCATGATAGAGGCAGCAAGGTTGGTAAAACTTCTACCAGACTATAACTACAACTCTGAAGACAGCCATTTTCGGTCTTCAAATCACACATTCTCTGTCGCCACTTACGTCTTAAAAATTTTATCCGCGTGTTTACATATAGCTTTATATAAATATTCTCTTTTTTCCTTAATTCTAAAGCATTAGTACACTACTATTGTTCTATTCTATATCTTTGTAATGATAATTAAATTAAATTAAGCCAAAGGTATTAGATCAAAAAATTTATATAATTGATTTCACGTCAGCACAATGGCTCGGCTGTTTATGTACTGAAAATTTGTGTTTGAGGGTCGAGAGCAAAATATCAGAACATTCTGCATCAGCTTGACCCTCGAAGCAGATCAGTGGAGTAATAGAATTTAGACAAATTAACAGATTGGTTACAAAAGCTGCCCCACATTACGTCATGTAGGCATTTGATTCAGACTTTACGTAATGTGAAACGTGTTCATGAATAACAAGTTCAAATAGTTTAGAAAAGTGGGACAGGCACAGATGTGGGGCCTGACGAAGTGTCCCACAACACAGGACAAGGAGGGCTCTTTAGACGTAAGTTATTTTAGGAGATTTCAAATTAAGTTAAATATAATTTAATTTCGAAAGAATTTACCGATTTTAAAACTACCGAAAACTCTCTTTCTTCATTGTCGTCCGTCTCAGATAAAATTACAAGGCAATCCACTACATTCTGAGATCCAGAGACTTATGAAAGTATTTGCAATAACGAAATATTATCGGAGTAATAAATATAACTTAACCTGTTTGTAAAAACAAGTGATAAACTTAACGATGGTAATTATCGAAAAATATTACTGTAATCGACTACTCGAGGCAAGGTCAATATCGATCATTTCAACAGCACGGGCTCTTAGAAAGCAAACCAAAGTAAGGAGGACGAAACAGGTTAGCATTTTCCAGCTGTCTCCAAAATAATTTAATACGTCCTAACATCAATCACCGACAAAAAGTTATTAAAACTAGCGATGATCAAGCTGAAATATCGACTGGAGTTCACAGTCGATACCGCAACTTTCATAACATGTTCGACTTCAAAGTCCTTCCACAAAGTGACTGTTTGTGGATGACGCAGTGAAGTTCTGTGTAAACTTCGGGATTTCGTCTGTCCATTTCTTCTCTAATTGTCCCCATCAAATCAGTTTTATTCCCGGTCATAACTGGAGCCCCCCCCCCCCGCCCTCTTAATTTTTTCCAGGATACCTCAAGTTTCTTCATGGTTTCAAAAATAAATCTTCCCCTGATGTTGTGTCATGCAAATGTTAAATTCTTCGTGAGTATAACTTTTAAATCTTACTGTCCTTTAATACACTTTTAATTTTAGGATGAACTGGTTGTCCTTGAGACTGCAATGCTGCTAAAGCAGACAATACATTCGCAATTGGCAGTCCAGACGGCGACGAGAAAGCTACATCGCATCAGCTGTACCACAGACAACAAGCACAATCACCATTTCTTCACCACGTAAGTATAATCACAGTTTGTTGTTTGTAATAAGAATCAATCCAACCTCACGTGACTTCATTTCAATATGTGCGTTCTTTTTTCCTTTTTTCAAATTTAACCTGGAATTTTGAACACAGTGTGTCAAATCATCTCATCTCTTCTAAATTATGCAGTATTCTCTAGACCAGTGGTATTCAACCTTTTTTGTTCGCGTACCCCCAGATATAATTTCTCTTCAACTTTGTACCCCCAAAGTCGTTGGTGTATAATTCAAGTTATACGTAGTATATAATCTACATCTAAAATAAATTAAATAAATTACATTACTGATTATTCAATGTTTATCATAAAATAATATATATTTTTTAAATTTCACGTACCCCTTAAAATGTCTTCGCGTACCCCCGGGGGTACGCGTACCACAGGTTGAATACCACTGCTCCAGACAAGTAGACACTTATCCTATAATGGGAAAATTACTGTGAAAATGTGACATTGATTTACGAAGTTAAAAGAAACAACGGAAATTTAAGTTCACGTTTAAACCTCCCTCTTACTACTCGTAATTTAGTCAGGTCGATCCGCAAATGCCCAGAAAAAATGTTATCCAGTCGTTTTGACTTCGGTCGAAGGGCCACCTGCTCTTATGTATGTTGATCCCTCCATCCTTTTCTCGGACTGGGACCTGTTCATATACGTTCTTGGCAGATGATCCAGAAGTGGTTTGCCATTGCCTTCTTCTGTGTGTGAATGGAGTAATTGTGGGGATGCCACGGAGGAAACCTCCGTGTTGCCTAGACCACGGCCTTGCCATATTACCTCAAAACAATGTCTGGATAAGTAATCTTGTCAGTAAACGACAGCATCAGTGGAGTAAAAGACAGAAACACGCTCTAAATTCCCCATGCCTAGGTTATCAGATATTAAGATATCTGCTCTTCAGGTCATCTGTTCCAGTCTGAGAAATATAATTAGACGACATCAAGCGCTCATAGATAATACTTCTCCGAATAAGTGCAAGTACAAAATGTCTGACGAGGCAGCTTGGACCTCTGAAACGTCCGTAAACTTGTACCAGACTACACGGTGCAACAACCCTGAAGACAGCCATCGTATTCAGATTTATTCAAAGTAATGTGAATCGAAAGACATGTTTGCCATTGATAACGACGATCTTAATAAAGCTACGTCCTAACAATAAAATCCATCAGATGTCGTCCATTAGTACCCGCGCCTTCTTGAGAATAATATTGAAAACTGAAAAGGTATAAATAAAGTGTCATCACATTACGTTCATGTTTTTTTTATGTAAGCTTAATTGCTTCATGGTGCAAGAGTTGGGAAATAAACTCCTCAAGGTTGATACTGACACGCGGGACTGGGTGTGAATGACGTCACTTTCTTGCCTGCCAAAGAAGTTCAATATGTCGAAGGCGCAGTATATAAATCGACCTGAAACTTGTAACTTTGTCCTCGATTTCATCAGCCGCTGATTTGGTTCCCAGTTCGAATACTGGCCCAAAGCACCACTTTTTCAAGTCATCGTGCTCCGTTAACTGAAAAAACTTTGGAACCACTCTTCTAAACTAACAAATCTTTTTAATTAATACAAGTAATGAGTAGTTCTTCAGTTATTTTCTACATACAGTTTTTTTAACTTTGTTCTGAGCAAACGAACCTAAGCACCAATTGGCATTCCCGTAAGCCCTGCCAGTCTACAATGTCATAATTACTATCAGTCTGAAGGCCACGAAATTGTATTTTACCTTGATTATATTGTCCGACTTCGGAAATGACGTATATTTACACTGCTCGCTACTCTCTATAATAAAACAAGGCCTGCATGAAATAACATGAAATAAGTAACTTATATAACTTTAAAACATGCTATCAATTCTAGTAATTTACTTTAACGATGCTAATAACATTAATAATGTGATACAAAACGAGAAGCAAGTTTTATCGCAATTGTTCCCAACTTGGATCTAACGATTTTTCGAATAGAGTCCAATTATTTTATGACGGCTGCGAAATATCGGCTATAGTGCCCTTCCGGTGCATTACAGTCCATAAGCTATGAACACGCATTCACTTTCTTAATAGGGTTATGTTTGTTTCTTTAGTCAGCATTACCTAATGAATCCCGTACACAAAAACGCCATAAAAAGATAACAGTTTCATCAGACTACTCGTAATAGTAACATAATTCTCACCAAGGCCTCATCTTTTTCTTTACAAACGTATTACAAGACCTTCAACTGCTCACTTGTAAAATTTTAGCCTTCTTTTATTTGTGTTTCCATTATTCAACATGCGTGAATGGATGATCCAGTTCAATGTGGAGACATTCTCCATTGTTGCCAACTGTCATCTCTTCAAACGTTTTTTACCTTCACCAACTACACTCGCATTCGAACGTGTCAGTATTTTTTTACCAACTTACGTTAATTAAATATTTTCGAAACATCGATTATGAGTTTCTGGATGCCCTGGCTACTATTACAAACGCTGCTTGCAATTTCCCATTACCTTTGCCTCGACCTTCAACGCCACCACCAACAAGAACATGACATTTTGTATTATTATTTCGAACAAACAAACTTGTTTCCCGTTACAATTACACAAGATAAGAAAAATGCTAGAATATTAAATGAATATCGAAAATAATGGCCCACCTTAAACATTATTGCTACTGTAGATGAAGTCAACACAGTTTGTGCTTAACATTTTCTCATTCCTACTTACCCGCAGTGAAGAATTTACGACATGTCCTGCCCAAGGAACTGGTGAACTGAAATACAAATTTCAATTACAGATAAGCGTTACCAACATCACATCTCTGAAAGTTACTCGGTCTGAAGTGTCTTGAAACAATGTTGATCATCATTCTGGGACTCATCGTAGTTTGTGTTACCTTGCTATGGACTTACTTCAGAATCAAGTTCCGTCGGATGATGCAGCTAGCAGACAAAATACCAGGGCCCAAACCACTGCCACTTATAGGAAATGCTCTAGAATTTGGAACCAATACAAAAGGTACAGTACATGAAAAATGTTGTAAAATATATTTTGTTGAATAGTCCAGTTATACTAATTATGTGTTAGAATCTGAACAGTTATGTTAAGTGGTTACCACCTTTTTAGGGACACTTATCACATCAATCTTTAGGATAGACTTTTTCCCTGAAAGTGGATGTGGTAAGTTCTTCCAAAACATTGATAACCACCTATAATACTTCATAGTATGACAATACAGAAGAATACAATCACAATTTTCATTTTAATGAAAACTTTTTTCTCGTATAATATTAAAATACTGTAAAATCAGAATTCCCATACTTTCTGTGACATAATAAATATTTTAAGATGTTGCCCACAATCAAGACATGCGACGACCATCACGAAGAGCAGTCCAGAAGAGGAGCTCCAGATATGTTCTCGACGTTGGAAACACTGATTCATTATGTGCATTAGTGCGCAAGGACACTGCTTCGAAGGTGACAGCAACCATCAGTGTGTTAAGTAATAAAATACATCTTCTACGGTGGTTTTCCGGGAACTTAATTTTCTTTAGGTTGGAAACAATGCACGATAGAAGGCGTCATGACCAAAGTTGTTAGCTTCAGAAGGGTGAGATTACACGAACAAAGGCTTGGTTCCTGGCGATGATAATATCTTTGGCTCGGAAGCCAAACATGACGGAAAAATGGCGTCAGTATAAAATTTGTTTTGGAGGGAAGATTAACTTCGAAGAATTTTCCTCTGTTCGAGTCCCAGTGAGGATGACTTTAGTAGCTCAGAAACTGAGCACAATAAAGTAATACCGACAAGACAAATATTGTTTGTTTCGGCGAGATGAGACACAAACATCACAACCGAGAAGAAACGTGTCCTGTGTTCGGGTTCTGGTTAAGATGTATTTTCTGTGCACTAAAAAGTATTTGCGGTATACGACTGAAGACAAGTGAACTAAAAACAACAATTACAATGCCAAAGTTGTTCTTTTGACGATGAAAATTACTCGCAAAATCAGAATATACAAACAGAAAAAAACTATTCCCAGAATATCACTAATACATTACCGTCTAACTTCCCTTCTCAATTTAAACGTTTTAAGTTCACCACTAAACTTTGTTTCGTTATAACAATCAATAAATCTGAAGACCAGTCTTCAAAAGAAGTGGGCAGTACCTCCCCTCCCCACAAGTGCCTACATGGCGTATAGTGGGACTGTTTACATTTTATTTTAATTTAGTTAGACATGATGAAATATTGTTTTTTTATGTTTAGAATCTAGTGCCATGGTAATTCAGCTCTGCACACAGATGACAGTTACATCTTAAATCTTACATCTGTTGCACTTTTTTTTACTTTACAGAAATTTTTAATAATGTGATTCGATTGTCAAACGAATATGAAGCTATATCCCGCTATTGGTTAGGACCTCAACTTTGTGTTCATCTGACAGATCCAGCATACGTTGAGGTGAGAGAAAATGAAACAGGACTTCACCACTAACCTAACCATAGATAATGAATAAATGACCACTGTTCTCCCATCTTCCTACTAAGTATTCATCAAATTACTAACTCTATGCAGAAGAGTCTAAGAACCAGACTCACTCTGCCAATCAACAAATTCTATACATTTCATCTAACTCTGAGGATTATTACCATAGCCCATCAATGAATTATATCCTGAGCCAATTCACAGAGTTAATTTTAAAGGGTACTGACAAATGCGTGTTACAATCACCATCACCAAATTCTTGGACTATGTCCATCGTCTAAAAACAACACACGTCATTATTTACAATGCTTACATTAGTTTTTAGAATGTTTTAAAAGTGTAAAGAAAATTTATAGTCATTCTACACTGTATGTAAATGAAATTACCTCATTATTTCATAATGTGACAATAATTTGTTTCCAGGCCATTCTTTCAAACCCAAAACTGCTGGATAAAGCATGGTCATATAAATATTTAAAATTGTGGCTTGGAACAGGACTGCTGACCGGTTCAGGTAGGTGGGCGGGACACTGCAACAAAGAAACATACAATGTCACTTACACAAAGCAAATTGGAAGAAGGAAAATTTATAATTTGTAATCATTCTCATTTCTGTTTTAGTATTTTGCTGCCAGTGCTAATTCAATTACTTTTTTTTCCACTCAGCACAAAATTAATTCTACTGTTCCTCCTACTTCGATCATTATATTGTAACAGAATCACAAATTAAACTCAAACCCATCTGCAGTTTTAAAACACTTCAAATTACAAGTTGTCATTGAAATTTCTTCTTAAACAGAACACTGCTGCAGCAAACCACTAACAAGGATTTACCGATGTTCACAGAAAATTATAAAGTTTTAAAATAAAATAAAAATCTGATGACCTTAGCTTGACCATTCACTGCATAAAGGAAAAAAATGTAATTCCAAGGTCGTTTACAAATTGCCATGTTCCAGGAAAGAGAGTTTTTAAAGTGAAATTTCATAAAGTTAGGTTAGGTTAATTCTCATTAGTGCAATAACGAAACAATAATACCAACAACAATAGTAGCATTATTACAGAAACATAAGAAAAGAGTGTGAACTGCAGATATAATTGTTTATATGTCAGGTACAGATATATTCTGTTGCGCAGGTCAAAAATGGAAGAGTCATCGTAAGCTGATCACACCTACATTTCATTTCAAGATCTTGGAGACATTTGTGGATGCTTTTAATTCGAATGCAGACATTTTGATAAAACAATTGTCAACTCATGTCAATGGATCCGAGTTTGATATACAACCCTACATAACAATGTGCGCACTGGACAACATTTGTGGTGAGCGGAATATCAACATTAAATACCCGAGTATAACTGATGTGACCCTGACTCTTGGGCACACGAAAGGGCCAAATTGCTGCCGCATAAATATAAGTCATCGTACAGTTAAGTATTCTTGCTGTTTCTTAAAGTCTTCTCTGTCACTATCGTTTAAAGTTGCAGTTAAATGAGTGATCACGACATCACAAAATGTAAAAGAACAGTTTTGTTTGGTGTGAGTATGAAGGTGAAAAAGTAAGTCTGTTGTAGGTTATGAAGCACTTGGAGATATGACAGTAATACCAAATATTAGCAAAATTAAAAAAAAAATTCTCTCTGACTAACTCTCCGATAACAGAACTCAAACAACGAACACCATTATTACAAAAGCCTGCTAATGAGCAGGTTCCCTCCACCTCCCATCGTCAAAATATATTTCCCTGCTCTGGGAGCACTTACACACAATCCCTATTGGGAAAGTTGGTATTACTAAGATTCAAACAACATTTCGTGTAAATACGAGGCTTGTACTCTACACCATTGGTTTCCAAACCAAGCTCCACTTAACCTAGGGATTTTAGTAAATATTTCCAGAACAATAGCTAAATTTCTTTACCATATTAATGTTCAGAAACACAAAAACTGTAAAAAGAGTTGTCAACTGCAATGTTAAAACCTAATTTTGCTCACACATAATTTATTTTTTTCCATTACATAACCTAACAGATGTTTAAGCATTTGATAGGTGTACTGACATACAGTTTATTTTCACTTACAAATTAAAGATGAATCGCCAGCTGATTATCTTCTACATTTCATTTTACAGGTTTATACAGCAAGCAAGGATAAGTTTGTAGCTTTCTGTATTCCGACATGGATATACAGAGTGATCAAGAAAGCCATGCGACCCATATTAAAATATTTGTGATAGTTTCAATTCATTAGAATTTGATTGAATTGGTAGGGTTCTATCAGTAATTTTCAGAGCCAAGAGAGTCCTTCAAACAGAAAATTTTGCACAACAATTTTCTCCATGATCTTGACATCATGACTTGGCTACTTCACACGACAAATTTTCAGTCTCCTTTTTTATTTTCAGAAACAGCCATGGGAGAAAGTGTAAATGCTCAGGAAGACAGTGATTCAGAATATGTCAAAGCAATTAAAAGGTAACAGGAATGTATTTGAAATACAATGTCATATCATAAAAAGTTATATTTGCCCTCATACAGTGTAATAATACAGACCTAAAACACAAACTTTTTATCAGTCTGAGGAATACCAGTCCTTCCAGATTTTGCCAAAAGTGCCTTGTAGAGCAATCCACCCCCTGAAAACGACAAAGTGCGGAAGTCTGGTAAAGACAATTAGAAAGTATGTAAGTCATGAGAAAAGATTTTCCATGCAATGAAAGACACAAAAGCTTATTTCTGGTAAGGTAACAACACCAAATATAAGTTGCAGAGTTATCCACTCTATTGAAGGCTATCAGAATATGTACATTGTTTTGTACAGTTTTCTGAAGCTGATTGTAAAATCCCTGGTTATGTGGCAGTGACTGAGAAAGACATCTAATTAAAACAGATTAAAGTAAGAATGGCGGATGTTTACAACGTATTGGTTGGGAGGCGTGAAGGGAGGAGACAGCTAGGAAGACTAGGCGTAGGATAACGTTACGATATACCTTAAGGAGATAGGAATCGATGCAGCGAACTGGATGCAACTAGCTCAGGATAGTGTGGGGTGGTGGGCTTTTGTGAAAACGGTGATGAACTTTGAGTTCCATAAGGAAAGTGAGCTATTCTTTGACACAAGCCGACTGCACAAAGAACTTCCTGTGCCACAGAGAAAGTGAGCGAGTACATCCTTTGTGCTCGCTCTATAAAGCAACTCCAGGAAACTACTATTCTGTGAAAGGCACATTTACTGTACAGTGATGCCATATATTGCACCCTCTGGTTCACAGATACAATCACCCTGTGAAATGGTGAAACTATAATAATAGTAACCATAGTAATAGGTTCTCTTTCAGTTTACTTAATTATACCAAATCTCTTGCCAAAGTTACACAACAATAAATAAGCAGTTTTACAGGATGACTATTTATGATGAATTGGAATTTAAATAAAAAGACAAATTTGTAGAAAACATATTCTTTCCAGTGATTTAGTTTCAACACATTTCAGCTATTTATGACTAATAAATCCTGATATGATGAATTCCTTTTCTAGCATGTGCGACTCCATTATGTTTCGGAGCTTCAGGCCTTGGCTTCATGCAGACTTCTTGTTTGAAATGACATCTGCTGGGAAACTACAAAAAAAATGTCTAGACATACTACATGGCAAAACCAAGAGAGTCATTGCATCTAGAAAAAAGAGATTTCTTGAGACAGCTGGGTCTAGAAATGATACATTTGAGGATAATGAAGGAATAGGTAAACCGACACGCTCGTTTCATTGCAATTATGTTAAATATCTTGAGCAGCTCTATGCACTAGCGTAATAATTTGCAGCTGGTTTTTCATTTCAATTCACAAAGTCCCATTCTTTATCCTATCTTCTTCTTCTTCTTCTATGGCTCTCTGGTCTGTATTCGGTCCATGGCCTCCTCAATTCTCCTCTTCTATTCGGTCCTGTTAGGTCTGTCTGTCCGAGGCTTTGATCGAGGTCTCGAAACATCTTCCTTTTTACGGTGCAAGGTTGTTAGCCTTGCGACCAACCCCCAACCTGGAGGACCAGGGTAGCTATCTTGTAAAATATGGCTGTTTTTTATGCAAACAATGCATTGATTTATGAATTGTATGATTTTAATAGACAGATTAATGGACTGAAGTAATATGTTTCGCCACTGATGATGACTTCATGGGGTGGAAACACATTTGGCACAAAGTGTTTTTAAAGCGTAAACAGTTTTGGTCGTACACATAATTTTATATTTTAGATATTCAACACTGAACGGCGTGCAACGTTTCAAGTATGAATTGTACTTGTATAATACGTATTGTATTGCTATTCTAAATCCTGTCATCTGACTATCTTAAGGATCCACTGAATGTAATGAAGTAGTATGTATGTGAAGTTATGAATTAATGCCACTGTTTCAGGTAGACATAAACACACTGCATTCCTTGACCTTTTGATCCAGTCGTCAGAAAATGGTACTCTTCTCACAGATCAGGATATCCAAGAAGAAGTTAACACATTCATGTTTGAAGTTAGTAACAATCAAAAATTAAATCTGTTTCAAGTAAATGCCATAATGTTATGCTAATATGATTTGATGACAAAAATCATCATAAGATTCTCCTTAAAACTGCACAATTCAAGGGATAATTCTTTGAATTGTGCAATTATTGTTATTTGTACATTAATAAACCATCAAACTTAGGGCAAATGCCTCAGTTTTAATACTGACAGAATTAAGTGCAAACATTTCTGCACGTCTTTCTCAAAACTCACCTAAAAAAAGTCAAAACTTTGTGAATGTGAGTCCACGTTATACTACAGATCCCAGATCCCCTCTGTCAGCCATCACATTCACATTCATCATAATCCTATCATCATCAATGAATGGAAAATGAGAGCTCCCACCTCATAAGCGAATCCATCACCCTCACGTGGGTAGCAGAGGCCAATAAAACTTTAACTGGACAAATTATAAGAAAAACGGACGACATTCTTAACACATAAAAGTAACAACTAAATTTATTGTTACTCACATTCATTCAATTCATTAAAAACTGAAGGTATTTGAAAACAAGTTGCAAAAGAGAATGTTTAGATCAAAGACAAATGAAATAATTAGGAACTGGAGAAAATTACATACTGATGAACTTATTGTTTGTAGTCTTTATGGAGTACTAGCAGAGCGCATAAAAAAGAGAATCTGTAAAACAGATGGAGAAAATACTTTCAAAAACAATTTGGTACCAAAATATTACAGAAAGAGACAACTCAAGAGGCGATGTCTACGTCGGAAAACAAGTTTCACATTCCGAGGCTCGTGTGTTAAACTGTTATTGGACTGATTCTTAAAAGCATAATAAACCTGTAACTGTGGCTAATTCGTGTTTCAGTTTAGGTTAATTAAAATTTTGTGACACCTCACTGTTAGGAAGCAATTAATCAACAGAACTTCTGGTTCATTTTGTGTTGAGCGTGTTTACCGAATATACATCCTTCATTAGAATGTGTTACAGTAAGGCTTTTTCTTGCTGACTAGTTTCTTATCAGATGTAAAACTCCTGATTAATAAATTAATGCTTCGAGTAATTTTGCTTGCATAAAAATGTATTAGCTTTTGCTCCATGAATATTACATAAACATGACTTCTTCTTACCAGGATTCACACATGTGTATGATTATATATTTAATTAAATATAACTATAAAATTAAAGTATATCCTAAACACAATTTAATCTAAACCAGGCACGTCACACTCAGTCAACTAACGACAACTTTAAAAAAAGACGACTTCCAGGGTCCATGGGTAAGGAAAACCATAACTGCCTAATTTTACTTAGCCTTAAGATATATTTTTTATTCCTCTACTTTCCCACAAGTAAATGCAAATGTGAATTTCACTGAAACACATTTCCACTTCATTTAACTGGAATTTAAAACAGTGGAATAGAAGCAGCTATTTGATATGCATTTGAAACTTATTAAAATTGGAGCACTTATGGCAACGCATTGCGCATAATTTAAGAACTGAGTTGGACCACATAAAAACATCAGACACGTGGCTAGCCATGAGTTTGACATGCCTGATCTAAACAAAGGAAGGAAACAGATTAAATACAGCATTTACAGAACCGACTTTATAATATCAACGCACTCTATCAAACTTCTCAATTGCAGTTCTCATATTTTACAGGGTCATGATACAGTAGCAGCATCAATGGGTTTCACATGTTGGTCACTAGCAGCGTACCAAAATATACAAGTAAGTTGAACTTTTGCATCCAAATGGGAGATACGGATTAGAAAAAGATGTCGTGACCAATAGCATGATACGATTTGGGCAGTACAATAAACTTAAAACATTATGACAATTCTTTAAACAGGTAAGGATGTGTGACAGGTATGTATGGTCCAAAATTCACATCAGGAATCATGTCAATAAAAATATTTAGCTAGTCACATTCCGTTAGTTCTATTTCAGCGATTAATTAAAGGTGCGCCCTCTGAAGTGTAAGAAATAGTTGAATTAATCCATTCCTTGCTGTGTTTTAGGTAAGGACCCTCTTCTGTTATAATATTTGCATAACAATTTACTTATATTACCAAAAAGTAAAAAAAAAATCACAAAAATACCAGTGATTTTAAGTGAGCCATGTTATGTGCAGAATGCATAGTAAATTAAAACCAATCAGATCTCATAATATGTAAATACCATTGTCGATCTGTTGCTTTTGTTGTCGGCACACACAGACACGCACATATACCGCAGCGTCCCGAAAATAAACCAAGCACTTTAATCTTAGAAACCCTTTGCAGATGCAAAATTATATTTTAGTCAATCCCAATTAAACCAGGGGTCCTCAAACCATGGGCCCAATGTGGCCCTACAATGTGTTTGAGCCTGCCTGTGTTAATCTGTATAAAGCAAAATATTTGTCGTATCAGAAAATGCATTTTGTTAATATTGCCGATATTTGACAGTAACGATCGATGCGAGAAACTGTATAGCTTAATGCAGAATGTCAAACCTAGAAACTAAAATGTATCTTACTGAAAACATTTGGAGAGATGTAAACGAACCATTAGAGTATATAAAGCTCACGTTGAAACATTACTGAAGCAGACACCACGTTGAATATCTATTTCGTTAAATAAAATTTAGTAGTAATCAAGTCCATTCATAATTGCAAGGTAGTAACACTCAATAAACTGCCTTGAAGTTTCAATAAACTGCCCTAATTTATAACCTTGTGGCCCACAAGTTAATAAGTAAGTGTGAAACTGGCCCTCAGCATGTAAAAGGATGAGAGAAATCCTGACTTAAATGTATTCACCTTTATCATACATCAATTAAATCTCACAGATAGGAAAGCATTACCCTGCTTGAGATGTAATGGTTAATATTCTCATTGTTATTATGACATGTAGTTCTTGCAGATCTCTTGAGATAAGTCTGGTTATCAATATACTGACATTACAGCTGTGATCACCACTCCCTTCACAGTTTTACAGGAGTCTTTCAAAACTGCAGAAATACGAGATAATGCCCCATTGCCATAATATTTAGTGCATGACCTTGAAGAAAAAACACATTATTTTAATTTTCAGTGAAAAAGGAATTAACAGTATGCGTCTTGTAAGTCTGTATTCAGAGAGTTGATGTCGTAAAGAATAATTATTAAAAAAAAATTTAACAGGACAGAAGTGGACAGCTGTCATGACTGAAGCTGAATATCACGCCTGTTCCAATCTTCCATTAGCAACATGAAAGACCTTCAAAATACGATAAAATTAATTTGACGGTATTTGTGATTTTCACAGTGGTAAAAATACAGAAATATTAATTTATCATCATCATCATCATTTAAAAAGAAAACTCATGTCCAAGTGACAACAAACATGTTGGACATTGTCCATCCCATTATTTTAATAAAGACTAGGATGATGATTAATTTCTGACAAGTCTGTTATTGTAATAAACCATCATCGCAAACCCTGTGATTAATTTAATTTGTTTTGTTTCAGGAGAAAGTGATGTCGGAGCTGAAAGAGATATTTGGCGATTCAAATCGATCACCAAATATCCAGGACCTTCAGGCAATGAAATATCTAGAGCAAGTTATCAAGGAATCTCTTAGACTCTATCCGAGTGTGCCGTTGTATGGTCGACAACTTACAACAGACCTGTCTATTGGTTTGTAGAATCTGGACATATAAAACCCAAGACTGTACTCCTACGACCTGCTTCCTGGTCCAAGATCAGTAGTAACCGTGGAGACACACATGTGTGTATCCACGCACGTACACTGAATAAATGATAGATCATGTGACCAAGTTTGCATCACATTTAGCAGACACAGGTGAAATAGAAATAAAGTGGCAAATTAGGTGTATATTAGATACAGGTATTATAAGATAATAATTTAGTGACAGCTTGTGGGTAAGTTTGTGTTAACAGCTGAGTTCAGTAACATTTCAGGAATTACTCATTAGTCTGCTGCTCATATTGGTAATAATTATCAAATAAATATTAAATTAACAAAAAGAATGTTCTTGACATTACTGGTGGTATCATGTTCAAGAAAATGTATTTTAACCTGTTAAAAGCATAAAAGGTAAGCCTTCTTTCACTAATGTATAAAAATCACAATTACCGAAAGCACTCGCTGCGATGAGCTATAGAATTGCTAGCTCAAAAACAGTGCCACTTGAAAGACCTGTCGATGCAATGATGATAAAATACAGACCTTACTGAAATAAGGTGGGAGAATTTGGAATAGTTATCTGTTTCCAGATAGGGACCAGTAGTAGGCGCTTTCAAACATGGGTTAGGTTCCATAAAAGGCTTGGAATTTCTTGACTAGAAGAAGTCTAACGGTTAATGACAACAGTGCATTACAATGCGTAAAACTATATTCTTCGGCGCTGTCCATTGTCTAAATTATAAATAAGATCACAGACTTTAAGAAGCTGGAGAATCAGGAGTTCACTGTAATAGTATTAGAAAAACAAGTAATTACAAACATTACAATATTCTGAAAACATTTGATATGATGCAATTTACTAAACAATCAAGAGTTGAAATGAGACGCATTCTAACAATTTACTATTAAAACATGTTTATATGTTGATTAACAAAATTAGTATCTTCATTCATGCTCCGGATTCTGCAACCACTGTCGTTTAGAATTCTTCCTTTGATCATAATGTTGAGCAATATTTATCAAACCATGGTTCATGGAGCATTAACTGGTTTGAATAAAATTCAGCTTCTTTAGATTAAATGTGTGTAAGAATTTTGCATTCATAACAAACTTACTGACAGTCTGTTGATAAATTTTGCAATCACCAAACCATACAAGTTATTTAGATTATTTACAAATTTGTTTTTTTTCTTTTTATATGAAAATATTATTATCAGTTTTTGTGAATACTCCATTCCATTTCAGGAAAGTACACTCTTCCAGCTCACACCAATGTATTCATACTACCTTACGTTATGCATCGAGACCCAAAATACTTCCCGGATCCAGAGAAATTTGATCCAGATCGATTCCTGCCAGAAAACATCTTGGACAGACCTCCACACTGTTATGTTCCCTTTGCCGCTGGAGCAAGAAACTGTATAGGTAAGTCTGTAATTGTCTCTGTTCTAACAGCATCATAATGGGACTTCAGCACGTTACCATGCCGTCATAAAATCTGACCTCTAGTCAGAAAATGTTTGAAAGCTTCAATTTATACACAGCATAAAATATTTACATTAGGAACAAATATTGTATTTATTCACTTACATGTTGCAGGTCAGAAATATGCAATGCTCGAGATAAAAGTAACATTGTGTCAGCTGTTGCGGAACTACAAGTTACTGCCGGGCACTACGCCACTGGACATTACAAATGAGATTGTACTGAAGTCTACAACAGGAATAAATATTGCATTGGAAGCAAGGGGGAAGGCATAAATTCCTGCTAGAAACAAATGTGAAACAGAATTCACTCTTAACTTCACGCTACATAACTTTCCTTTCATTCTGCCATGCCAGAATAAACAATTTGGAAAAGTGTTAAAAAGATAATCATCTTTTTTCCACAAAAGAATAAGAAAAGTATTATTATTTAACTATTAACAGGAAATAAGACCTAAATTCAGAAACAAATGTCGACGCCGACTGTACTGTAAACTGTAACTCCAGGCTAAGAGCAGAACTGTTAAAATACGAAATACAGGAATTGAATCCCGTCTTACCTTACACTGCCCGAGTAGTTACACCAACGTATGCTGGACTGGAGCAGCAAGAAACATTCACAGAACCTCATGGCCTGAATGTTTCTGCCTTGGTTTCAAAAATCTGGGTGCTCCTCCTCCTTGTTGTGAGTCAGAGATGCACTGGTCAATTTATTGAATCAGAATTGGTGATCTTGTAGCAGCACAGCCTACTGTGCACCCAAGAATTCCACTCATCGTGCCACCTACAGGACGTATTCATAACAGACTCACTTGTACGTACCTCAACTGGAACAAACTGACTACGTTACACACTTTAATCTTCACGGCAGTGGGAAGGTATATAAAATCACGTATACAAACTTTTAACACTAAAACACAGATGCGTTTCAACCTCATGAGGTCACAATGCACTGCGTATGAAGACGATGTCCTGTTTGTAATACCAAACTTTTGGTTCAGGAATCTTCATGGTTTGTGTTGCACACGAACTGGTATATTGTCCCATTGAGTCGCCCATATGTGCGTCGTCGTTCTATTCGAGACGGAGGCGTTCTTGTGTTGTAGCACTATATCCAATTCAATATGTTAATGGACTGGTTTTAATATGCCACTGATGATGACCTCATGGGGTTGAAACGTGTCTGGCGTTGTGTTTTAAAGTGTTAAAAGTTTGTGTGATTTTATACGGTGATCCGATACTACACGGTACGCGAAGTTTTACGATTTTAAGTGAGAAGTTAAGCTTGTTCTTGGTGATTTGTCAGGTTCTAGAGGCAGAGAGTATAAAAGTGACTGTTTTCACTCTGACGATGTAACAACCTGTTTCCACAACATTATTTTGCTTTATATGAATCTTAAGGAAGAATCTTAGTTGAAGGTTTGTATGATACAAAGTAAGTTCTAAAAGAATGGATTCAATAATTTAATTCTTCATCCACTTACAAATATGTTCAAAGCAAAAGGATATTAAATTATCATGGTGTAATCTTAGTAATTAATTCATAATGAAATAAGATGTACACACTTTTAAGTAATTGATATGTCAATCAGTTTAATTCACATCATAATAATGTCCATTACTGTCATTACTCATAGCAACATTGTATCAGTCATTAACATGTTTACATTGACACTTTGAGCAAATTTTCATCAGTACTAATTGTTGATGAATATTTCAGCTGTTGTATAGTTAGGTTATTGCACAGTTCAAGGACTTAGTAACAATTGTTAATTTTCCCGTTTCACAGTAAGATGAGGGAATTAAGGCATTAATATTGATATGGCTAATACTAAAAATAAATGTGAAGAAACAATGGTAATTTTCTCTATGTACATGAAAATGAAAAAATAAAATTACACAAAAATGTACAACCAAATATAAAATGTATGATTAGTCAGAACGGATTTAATACTGAAAAAAAGGTAAATCAATACAGAGTTTTAACTACAAAAGCTAGTTTACTAAGACACTTAACAGACCAAACATACCAGTGTCAGGGTAAGTTTGTGTCCAAAGGACGTTTCATTTAATACGAACAGAAGAATAAATGTTTAAAGAATTCTGGTACCTTACCATACGGCCACAACGTTCAAACAGCGAAAGAGCCAACTCACTGCAATCAATTGCACCATCAGTGCCCACAGAATTAAAGGAATACATTTACCCTTTCCCATGTGGGAATAAGGGATTCAAATCCCTGTATTACAGGGTTGCTGGTCAAACTTAAACTCTGGGCTCAACAGTTTAGTGGTATGATAGTGCGATAAGTGGTCGGCTGGATCATGTGTAAGCTGCATAGCATGGACTGTAAAGGTTATAATACAAGGAGTTTATGAATTCAAAATTCAATGTTACAATGTAAAACCAAAGTTTCTGGACATGTTTGATTGAAATTATGACTTCCAAAATGCACTGTATCTGTTGTAATTTTTCCCACATGTTAATTAACAGTTTTTGCTTAGGAGAACTGTATTAAGAATAAAGTTAAAATAAACAATGGGAGACAATTTTCCTTGATATAAAAGTACAACTCAGCACTTTCACTTTTTTTTACAATCACCTGAAATACCATTCATGAAAAATAACTTGCTTTCTGGAACTCTGATGTTAACAGCGATATTTTCTCATTGTAAAATCACAGTTTACAACTTCAATACATAAGAATCAATCAGACATGGATCCCTGTCTAAAATGTAAACTTCAGAAGATATTCCCAGAGGAAAGTTTTAAACCCGAACTATAACAGCACATACATGCGGACAGATGATATAAGAGCTACCTAAAGACACCACAAAGTCCCTCCTCAATAACCCTGATTATTTTTATGTGACAATTGTAAAAATTAATTCAATATTCTTCTTTAGTATTCAGTATAATAACAACATTGTATCTGCTCAACAATTCATTGAATAAATACATTCATTTAGTGTAATTTGGTATTGATGGGTTTGTTGTTGTTGTCGCATTTGCCCTGTTCAAGAACAAAATGTACATCTTTAGTGATAGTATCAAATAAATGGACTATGTCATTAAATTCTGCTCCTTCATTTGGGGGCAAGAAAGATGTACAGACCAAATGAATGATAAATCAGAATGTAAAACAAAGACCTTCCCTCTTGACACAGACCTTAGGAAAAAGAGACTAAGACAATCATTCATCTTCAGAAATTGTATAAATACTGCTCATAACATTTTGCTAATCAGTCTAGAATAAATATCCAATGTTACAAATAATGCATTTAGGCATGCAGTCACAGAGAATGTAAGATAATTATTTTTAAGAAACATTTTAAAATATGTATAAATATGCATATTGAAGCATAAACAGAACCTCCAGCCACTGTCTGTTATTTAATTAAATAGGTCAAGAAATATTTGAGTTTTCACTGTCATTTACATTAATTTTAGATTATCTTCACATACAGGCAAATACATGGCATTTTAATAAAATGCTACCTTAATGCTATTTAAAAATCACATACACATATAAAAAAATTTAAGATGGTGACCTTGATATAACACGTACACAAACTGAATAATATTCGATGAAAGATATTTAAGACTGTTGGACCAGAAATGCATCCAAGTCAGATTACTCCAATCTCTGGTATCAACAAGCAGCAGCAGTCACAGAAAATGTTTCTGGTCCCCAAGACAAGTAACAATAACATAACCTTGAAATATAAATTCAAGCAATTCTACAACTAGATTTTGACACACTGGATGACTGATTATGTACATTCATTCTCCAAAAGATGCAATTTTTTAAGAATTTTCATTCCCTCTAAGTTATTCAGGACAAAACACAATATGCTATGCACGATTTTAACTTCCTGTGTGACCACAGGCAGCCTTTCAAGCTGATACGCACTTCCTCAAAAATGTTCACTCTTTACTACAAGCATGAGATTAAAATCAAAAAACATATTTTACTGAAGGAAAGCCTCAAAACTGTGATATGTTTTCTCATGACAAAAATGTTTTACCAGTCATCAGAACAAGCCTATGTACTACTTTTCTGATGGAAATAGTTATCTTTGTTTACAACATAAATACCTTTGTATGGAAATGCGGCTTTTGTCAAAAATTAAAGAAATGAAAACGTACTTACGTACATAGTCGATAATTAAACCACTTTGTGACAGAGCCAATTCTTAAGCAGGGCCAATCATCATTAATATACAAAAAGAGTGAAGTATCTGAAGAACATGTTCACCTCAAGCATAATCATGAAAGAACCAATTTTCTCATGAACTTCATTTCTGCATTTACCAGAAAGTTAAAAATTGACCAAAGTAGAACAGAAATCAGTTCTCATTATGAAAATAATTTCAGTCATAACTAATTACTGGAATTAAGCGTTAATAACAATATAAGCCAAATCATAACTTCTACTATGGTTCTGGAATATTTGATCTTTAATAACTGTAGTACTTAGGAACCTGTTAATAATAATTCTTAAAGTAAGTATAATTTAATTAAATTTCTGGTTTTCACGGCAGTGAGTCCGAAGATGGCTGTCTTCTGGGTTGCTGTGCCATGTAGTCTGGTAGAAGTTTACCAACATTTCAGAGGTGCATGCTGCAACCATCATCAGGGTGACTGCCCTGATGTTAGGGGCAGCAAACTTTTACAAAACTACAAGGTGCAACAACCCAGAAGACAGCGATCTTCAAGCAGAATTTAATATTCATGTCTGCTGTATCATGTTAGGACAATAATATGAATGAACAATCTAAATAAACCAAAACTATAAGTTGAGAATTAAACTGTCAAGAACCTGAAATTTTGTAAATGTGTTGCATCCCACACAGCTTCACCTTGTACCAAAGTTAGTACACAAGAAACTTGCTCTTCAAACAAAGAGTAGGACTTTATACAAAACCGCAACTTTCCTATGAATAAAACAACATTTTTATTATTTAAAAATGCAAAATAATGTTATTTCTGAAGGTGTGTCTGAATTTAATCATTTTAAGTAATAGAACCAGTCAGCCATTTGAAATCCAGGGAAGAAACAGGTCATGTGAGAGGCTGCACGGAAAATAACATTCTATTCATACTAAAGACATTTAAAGTCATGAAATGGAAGTCGTAGGTTCAAAGCCATCTTAAGTGTTCACAGTGACTAAAGAATTTGTTTGGCACTAACAACAGAGACAATAAACACTAAAATCTAAATATGAGGCAATCTAAACCACAAATTAATGAAGTGATATTTTGTTTTCTAAGTAGGATGAAATGGAGACATTATGAATTCTTCTTGGGCTATGTAAGGTAATTTAATAAAGAAAACAAAAACATTTTGAGAACCATCTTTGTCCTCAGGGTACCCTGATGACAAGGACGAAGATGGTTCTCAAAACGTTGGTGTTTTCTTCATTAAACCACTTTACATGGCCGGTAGCCTGAGAATTCATTATACTTAGTTGCTGTGAAAGCTTCAGATCATACATTGAGACATATTCTCCATAAGAACACATTTTATAATACATGTATGCGTTAATGTTTTTCAGAACTGACATATAAGATCCAACAGTTTTAACTACGAACTCATTATATTTCCTGTAATGTAGGATGGATGAATACAATGTCCACTGTAATTAATAACACACTTTGTTTCTGAGATAAATAAGAATAATTGTTCTCAAATGAATATTTATGTATATTTTTTCACCTCAATATATGAATAATTTTGAAACTTTGCAAGAGCTTCTGATCACAATTATTTTTCCTAGATGATTTGGCGTGTACTGTTCTCTGTATAATGAAAATAATTATAAGGCAATAAATATCACTTCCAATACAAGAGTAAATAAATAATAAATACACAGAAAACAGTCTCAGATCAATTAAGCGAGATTCTATAGTCCACAGCCGATACATCATTCGTGGTAGCACTGAGGATTTTGAATTTAAGAAATGAAGACACATTATTAACTATTTCACTGTGGAGCTGGCAATAAAGAATGTGAGACATGCTAGCAGCATTTCTGCAGAACTCTCATTCTTGTGAGTTCAAACTTCATGGCCTTGCCAGTCTCATGTTTCTGCAACACTATCTTTCTGGAAGGGTAAGACATCTGTCGACAACATGCAGAAGGTTTCACTTATATTAAACATACATTTTCTCATAAGATGTCACAAAATAGGCTATACAGCTTTGTTTTTCAAGTAGTACCAACTTGTAGGCAGCACTGTCACGCAGTTAAGTGGTCGCCGCGGCTTCTTTTAGGCATAAACAGATTGGAGATTCTGAATCTGAGGGTGAATGTAAGGATGGAAGGGAGTCTAAAAAAATATAATTAAATTAAAGAAAGATGTTGAAATTTATTTATGCAGCCAAGGCACTATGTAGAAACAAAAATTATAAAGCAAGAGTTAAGGAGAATATTACCACTTCTCTGACTTCCTTAAATTTGTGCATGTGTGTGAGAAATTACTTTCTGTGCTACACATTGGACTATTGCTGGTTTAAAAAAGGCCGAAAATTATTGAATAACAAAACCTTGTTGTAAATATTCACAGTTTTAACATAATCATTAAGTACAATGGAAGACTTCCTACAAGTTCTCATTTACTGAAACGCTATAAGAATATACAAATGAAATCAAAGTACATATGTTTCTAGTTCGTAACAACTTTTAAAACAGGTTATGTCAGCAATCTTATTTAACTTCCACTATAATCATAGAGTGGGGAAGACTCATCATGACTAAACTTATAACACTGAATATTTACAACTATAACTTTAGTATTTCAAGTCATTGCACTATTATTTTTACTGCACACATCTCCTCATTGTACTTCAATAGTAGCTCGCGTTTATAAAGCTCATCTTCATACTATGGATATAACGCACAAAATAAAAAAAAATAAAAAAATAAACAGAATACATTTCATTCAACATGAAAATCATGCTTTCATTCAAAAATCAGTCTTCAGGCATTTTATAGACAAGACTGGTAAGGTGTACTCTCTGGAGTACACAAAGGTATTCTTCACGTAACATCAAGTAGGCCATTGTTGCATTTTAAGTCGTTCTTGCACTGTTATTCCCGGTCATTGTCATGCCTTAAGTCATTACTGCATTAATCTGATCCCAGACAAATTTTGCACATCCTCCAACAATAATCTAAGGTCATTCTTTCATTAATGTGATCAGAGGTACCAGTGTTGCACAAAAATGGTACCCTTGGATCCCATTGTTGCAAAGAATGTGACAGACGTACCCATAAGGTGTTCTTTGCTCGCGTTACAGCAGGAAAACATAAAAACTATGATTTTACACCCTGTGTAACATGTGTTTGTAGACTTAGCACATCTCTGGTCATTTTGTTATATTGATAATAAAGTAAAAATTTTAAAATAAGAGGCGTTTCAAAGATGACATTTGGATAATCCTCTGCAGACTAAGGGAATTAGCATTATAAACATAATCATTAAAACAATGGTGCAAAAATATGAGCACAGAGTCACAAAAACAAATTGAAAAAATAAAGATAAAAAAATATGTTTAAAACAGAACAAGAGTCTCTGAATTAAAAGACTAAGCCAACGAGATCTTGAGCACTGAAGCAAGATTTACAAAAATCTGTTTTGTAATACAATGTGAGAAGACATTTGTATGCAATGAATTTGCACAGTGTCACAAATGTTAATGACTGGCTTCTGAGAGAAAAGAAAATCAACTCAGTCAGCAAATTTGTTCAACAGAAGTTACCAAATATGAACGAAATGAATTACGACTTTCAGACTAAAAACCATGCAGTGGAACAGCAGTGCAGTATTTTTAGTCTTCAAACAAAAGAGATTGGTTAAAGAAATATGTTGCTGAGAAAGATGTTCAGCTAAACCAGAAATCTGACCAAAACCTGAATCCACGTCTGACACGAATCATTTTGTTTCATATAATAATGACATCGCCGAATT